GTCCCGCCAGGGTGGCCCACCCCTCCTCACCTTCACCCCCTGCTGCTAACTCCTACCCTATAGGTTGCCGGAGCCGTATCTTCCCTGTTCATCCTCCTCATTATCGTCAAACTTGGGGAGCTCTTCCGAGACCTGCCCAAGGTGAGTCTCCATCCCTCCCAGCCAGCCTTCAGTCAGTCTAGTCCCATGTGAGGGGCTCAGAGATACAAGGTTGAGCTCGCGGGGACACAATCTGGAATTAGCGGTCAAGGGTTAGAACTTTCTAATCAGCTTCCAGGGGTTAAGGTTAGTGTGGGTGGCAGCTGGGTGTAGGATGGGCTCGGCCCAAGTGCTTGGCCAGTCTGGGTGGGTCGTGCCTGGGTGGTAGAGGCTGCCAGCCTCTAGGAACCTCTCAGTAACCCTAGTGACATTCTCCCTGCCCCAGGCCGTCCTGGCAGCCGTCATTATTGTGAATCTAAAGGGCATGATGAAGCAGTTCTCTGACATCTGCTCTCTTTGGAAGGCAAATCGAGTGGACCTGGTGAGGTGCTTGGGAGCCCAGGACTGGGCTTTGGGCCATTAGTGCCAGACAACCCTTTGACCCCTGTCCTTTTGTTATCAGCTGATCTGGCTGGTGACCTTTGTGGCCACCATCCTGCTGAACCTGGACATTGGCCTGGCGGTTTCCATAGTATTCTCCCTGCTACTCGTGGTGATCCGGATGCAGCTGTGAGTCAACTACTTTTGGTACTCCCAATTCCGACTTGGTGAGGGAGTAAGTTTCACATTGGCTCTCCACAACTTTCCTTACATCTCTGGGGACACCCCCAAGTTCCTCATTCCCCTCTCATGGCCTTTTCTTTGCCTCCTTTTTTTGCCCCTAACTCTCTCCTCAGGCCCCATTACTCTGTCCTGGGGCAGGTGCCAGACACGGATATTTATAGAGACGTGGCAGAATACTCAGGGGTGAGTGGCAGGACTAAATGGACGGTTGGGGCAGACAGGATAAATGGGCCTTTTTATTCCCTTCCACATGGACAAGAACACTGGGGGTGGGCTGGGGAAAGGACTCAGAGGGTAAGGGTACAGTGTTGGCTTTATAAACATGAAGACCTGAATTTGGGTCCCCAGCACCCACATAAAATACCAGGCATAGCAGCATGTGTGTCTGTAACCCCAGGGCTCAGAAGGCAGTGACAGATGGATCTCTGGCGCCCACTGGCCAGCTAGTCTAGCCAATTGGTAAGCTCCAGGTTCGGTAAGAGACCCTGTCTCAATGGTGAGGAGCCACCCAATGTCTTCACATGCAAGGTGCACACCTGTACATACACACACACACACACACACACACACACACAGAGGGAGCATTTTGGCTTTGGTTCTTGGAATTTGAAGAGAGGAGTTTGGGTCTGTGACCCTATTCAGGGCATAAGTGGATAGATCAGTCTTGGAGCCAGAAGAACAAGCCCTACCCTGTAGAGTACCCCTGGGTCAAGAGGATGTCGGGAGGTTGTTTCCGGTCTGCTCAGTGGGAATGCAAACTCCCCAGTTGCTAGTTCATATAAAGAGCCTCATGTCATGTTCTGAGAACAAAGGTTGTGTGAGAGTCGGGAATAAAATAAGCCTTGGAGGCCGACTGCGGTGTGATTAGGCAGAATGCAGAGGAGAATGAGGGGTCTGGGTGTTGGAGAAGACGGAGGGGAGCAGCCAGGTGACTGGGAGGCGGCCCGCGTGGTGGTACAGCCCAAATGCGGGGAGAGACCTGGGCTGGGGGTGGGATGAGGTGAGAACTGGGGAGGTGGGAGTGGAGGGAGCTTAGGGTGGCTTCTTCTGTCGGCGGTGTGCAGAAAACAGCAGAGGGCAGGGATGGGAGGCTCAGGAACGGGGGCGCTGAGAGCTGAACCGCAAAACCTGGTCGAAGACGGGAGAGTCAGGAGGGAGCGGCTCCGTGCAGCTCAGGAGCGAGGGTAGTGTCGCCAGGCTTCTGGCCCAGACTCCTGGAAGGGCATCGGTCACAGGCTGGGGGCAGAGGGCAGCAGGCTAAGAGGGGAAACTGAGCGAGGAGGATTCAGTGGAAGGCAAAGAAAGCTTGGCCGCCCCAACGCCACCTCATCTCCAGGCCAAGGAGGTCCCTGGCGTGAAGATCTTCCGCTCCTCGGCCACCATTTACTTTGCCAATGCTGAGCTCTACAGTGACTCACTGAAGCAGAAGGTGAGGCTGGGGTCCCCCTGCTTGGCGTGTGTGGTGGGGGGGGGTTCTGAATACCGTCATCTCCCCAGAGTACTCAAACCCTACCTCTGCCTTGGTGTCTAGTGTGGTGTGGACGTTGACCACCTCATCTCCCAGAAAAAGAAACGGATCAAGAAGCAGGAGATGAAGATGAAGCGGATGAAGAAGAAAGCCAAGAAGACCCAGAAACAGGTGCAGGTCGCTCAGCAGCTCCTGGCCCAGCCCTGCTGCGGACCCGGCCGCGACCCTCAGCCACTCTGGCATTCTTCTTTGCCTTCCTCCCAGTCTGGTCCTGGCCCCATTTTCTCACCCCCATCATTTCTCTTCACTACTCTTTGTCCCTCCCCTTTCTCCCTCAGCCCCCCAGGGACCCTGGTTCAGCCCCGAGCGGGGCAGGGCAAACTCTTGAGGTGTTGTGTTCCTCTCCTGGATTAGTCTCAGCGTCCACCACAGCATGTCCCTTTCTTGTCACAACTTCTCAGGCCTGCAGCCTGGGTCCTGCTGTGGCTTCTTGCCCAATGCCAGGGGCAATACCAGGTCTACCTGGCACGGTTGTCATTTGGCACCTGGGATAACTTTCCCATCATCCCTCTTCCCTCCTAGGCTACCTCTTCCAAGATCTCCTCAGTTTCAGTCAACGTCAACACCAGCTCCGAAGACATCAAAAGCAATGATGTGGAGGAGGGACCAGCCAAGCCCCGCAAAGATGTGGGTGTCCACACATGCTGCATGAGAAAAGCCATGACCTGCTAGTGTGGGTTTGAAGGCATTGGGCTAATGATGGGAGGAATGGGGTGAGGGCTTGGACGCTGCAGGAAGACCCTTGTGATACCAAATTCTCCGCGGGCTCTTGTCTATAATCTCAGACTGACCTAGATGAAGACCTTGAATTTATAGATGTAACAAGACCACACAGTCTCTGCTCATGGATAGGGGACAGGGCTTAGGAACATTGGGAAAATCTAGGGGTAAAGAGAGATGCCAAGTTCAAACAAAGCTTCAGACAGGTCAGGGTATAAGGTGTGTAAGAGTGTGGGCCGGTGAATGCCTGTGGCCATCTTGTCTGTCCCTAGGCCCCTGTTCACTCTACCCTGTTTAACTAAGGGTGGGGCATGATCTCCCAGCACCTTCCCTTCTTGTGTCTTTGTTAAGCTTTGGCCCAGGAAGTACCATAGCAGTTTGTGCATGTTGGAGTATGCTTTCCTGTGTCCCTACATGTCCCTCCTGTGTTTATAGATCCACATGTCTCTCCTAGCAACCTGTGTCTGTGTCCTTATGTGTCCCGTGCACGCCTTCATATATCTGCATTTTTACATGCCTTTATAGTTCCTGTCTGGCTCTGGGTGTCCCTGTACACCGTGTGCATACCTTTGCTCCGTCATGGGTGGTCCTTGAGCACTTCTGAATCCATTGCAGGTGCACCAAGAGGAGGAGCTGGATAATGTGGTCGCCAGCAATCAAGACGTCAAGGCCCCAACCATGACCTCACTGAAGTCCCTAGGCCTGCCCCAGCCGGACTTCCACAGCCTCGTCCTAGACCTGAGCACCCTTTCCTTTGTGGACACCGTGTGCATTAAGACCCTGAAGAACGTAAGGGTTATGGCCGGCTAGGACCCCTCAAGCTGACCCCATCACTTGCCCTCTGAGCTCCCCCACTAAATCTTGCCCGACTGCTGCCCCTCTAAGGCCGGCCCTCTTTGTTGCTGCAGATTTTCCGTGACTTCCGGGAGATCGAGGTGGAAGTATACATCGCAGCCTGTTACAGTGCGTTGAGTGCGGACAGCCGCAATCCAGGCGGAGGGCGGGACTCTTCCGGTCAAGGGCTTGTCCGACAGCACAAGGAAAAATCTTTTTCTGGAACTGCGGGCCTTGGGAGACAGGAGTCAGGAGCAGGGCTAGAGGGATGGCTCAGTGCTGCCCACACAGGAAGACCTGAGTTCAAATCCCCAGCACCATGTAAAGTAAGCCGGGCGTGTCTGTGCGTGCTGCGATGCTGGCCTTCGGTGGGCGGAGACAGGGTTCCTAGGAGCCGGCTGGTCAGCCAGCCTAGCCAAGATAGAGTTTCAGGGTGACTGAGAAACCCCGACTCAAGGAACTAAGGTTGAGAGACATAAGAACAGAACATTTGACGTCCTGCTGTGTCCTGTGGGTGCAAGCAACACACACACACAGAGACACACCCCCACACAGACACACACACACACACATAGACATATAGACTTACAAACACACAGACATACTCCCACACAGACACACCCCCACACAGATATATATACACACACACAGACACACCCCCACACATAGATATATAGACACAGACACACCCCCACAGAGACATGCACACACACATAGACATATAGACACACAGACATACCCCCCACACACAGAGACACACCCCCACACAGATATATACACATACACACATACATAGATATATAGACACACAGACACACCCCCACAGAGACATGCACACACACACACAGACATAGACATATAGACACACAGACATACATAGACATAGACAGACAGACACACCCCACACACAGACACACATAGACATATAGACATATAGACACACAGACATACCCCCACAGAGACACACACACACACACATATGCACATAAATAGACACAAACACACACAGACATTGGAGTGACTAGGTTTCTAGCTGTAAGTTGCCTCAGGAGTATCAGGGGTCAGAGATTCCTAGGGGTTCCTGGGGACTGGGTCTCCCGATGGTTCTGAATGTCAGGACCTCCTCCTTGCCCACAGGTCCTGTGGTCTCCCAGCTTGAGGCTGGACACTTCTTTGATGACTCTATCACAAAGCAGAATCTTTTTGTCTCTGTCCATGACGCTGTGACCTTTGCCCTCCACAACCGGAAGCCTGGCTCTAAGAGCCCTGTTTTGGTAAGCTGCCTCTGACCCCTGAGCAGTTTTGTTAATCTGTTGCTTATCCCCACCCTGACCCCAACTCCAGAAAGTCCGTGCTATTGCCCAGGGCTCTGGCCACACTGAACCCATTGCTCTTCCCTCCTGCCCGGAAGAAAGTTCTTTGTGGGGAGGGAGGGTGCTGTCTCAGGAGCAGGCGGTCACATACGTCCTTCAGAAACTAACTGGGGGCTGGAGAGACGGCTCACTGGTTAAGAGCGCTGGCTGTACTCTGACATTCTCTCTCATGCTTTCTGAGATGGTCACAGCTCAAATGTGTGGCTAGTTATGGCAGATCCATACACCCAAGGGTGTCATCTAGAGATTGGGGTAATCTCTGGTGTATTGCAGATGTAATCCAGGATGCTCAGGGTATGAGGGACCCATAGGCACATTGAAGAGTTTGACACATGAGGAAAAGGAATTGAGGTTTAAGCCACAGTTCCATCGGGTTATATTTTGGGGGCCCTCCAAAAGAAAAATTAAAAACAAAAACAAAAAAAAGAGCGCTGGCTGTTCCTCCAGAGGACCTGGGTTCAATTCCCAGCACTCACATGACAGCTCACAACTGTCTGTAACTCCACATAAACATACATGCAGGCAAAATACCAATCAACACTCATAAAATAAAAATAAATTTAAAAAAAAGAAAGAAAGAAGGAAGGAAGGAAGGAAGGAAGGAAGGAAGGAAGGAAGGAAGGAAGGGAAGGAAGAAAGGAAGGAAAAAAGAAATTAACTGGAACTTCCTTTCCTGCCCACACAGGCCACCAAACTGTGACTTTGCTGCTGGAGATTACCTACCTCTGGAGGTTGTGACAGGTCACCCTCATGAAACTCCTGCCTCTAGGCCACCTCCAGGTGCCACCCAGGACTCTGTTCCATGTACATGCACATATAACTCATGGATGGATGCCTTGGGACTCCATGTTCAATGCTAGAGGCCTGGGGCAGGGTATTGCAGTCAGGCTGGCCCTGGCTGGGTGCTGGAAGGGAGCTGATGTGGGTTTACAGCTTTGGGAATAAATGTGTCTGTCCAACTTCAGGCTCTGCTGTGATGTGGTCAGGGTGTGGCTGGGCCGTCGTCCTCAGATCAGCTCCCAAACCGCCTTATAAACACTAAGGTAGACATAACTGGGGTGTAAGATTCAGGGAGATCAGGGCCAGACAGAGAGCATGCCGAGCAGGGCAGCTGTAGGGCCCAGGCTGGGTTGGGGTTTTACATGCTCAGGGTCCTCTTCAGTTTCACTCAGACAGCCCTTTTGTTCCAAAGAGAAAAATCAATGGAATCAAAACTGGAGCTCAGGACTAAGCCATTTTCAGGATAGCCTGACAAGAGGCAAGGCCGAGTCGGTGCTTCTGGGGGATGTAGCGTAAACCCCTGACCCCCATTCACAGGGTCTGCTGCTGGATTTAAAAATCAGTGGTAGGAATTGCCTACTCATAGAGTTGCGACACCGTCAGCCAAGAACTGGCTGGTTTCTGGCCTGAGACACCAACAGAGCATGCGCTGGTCCTATGGGCCACTGATCCCGTGGTGGGAAGGATGGGGCAGTGGGCTCCTGATCAGCGAGGGATCAACAGCCTCCTGAGTTGCCTGGTGAATTAACCAAGCAAACACATGGACATGACCAGAACAAAGCAATACCCACATCACCTGCCCAGAACACATGAACTTCCCTATTCATCAGGTACGTTACAGGTGCCAAGATCAGTGCTAGGCACTAGGCAAGTTCCCAACAGTAGACTGAGTCTCCCTGCCCTCCAAATCACCCAGGTACCCTTGCCTGTCCCTATTTTTATCACGGCATTTGCCCGTGCCCGGCACCATAGTGTTTACAAGCCGTCTCTGCTCCCACCAAAGCCTCAGCCCAGAAAGGCAGAGCTTTTGTGACTGTTCTGTAGCACTGAATTCTGGCACTGGGCTTGGGTGCTTGGTAAATAGTGTTTGAACGAAGACTTGGAGCCAGAGGCAGACTTCAAACAAGAACTTGTCAGGCTGGCCTTGGATGGGTGCTAGGAGGAAGCTGGTTTGAGAATAAAGATGAATGAGGATGTAGGTAGCCAGAAATCTCTAAAGAAAATAACGTGGGGTCATATTAGAGAAAGTGGACTATATCACCAAGGTAGTCACGGGAGGGGTGCTGGCAGTGCGTGAAGCTCTGACCTTGAGAAGAAGGGGCTTTCTAGAAGGGAAATCATGCTCCCAGAACAAGGAAGGGTTGAGGGAGGCCTGGGTAGGGGCAGGGACAGCAGCCAGCAGGGCACTTCAAGGAAGCTACACTTTTGAGTTCTTGCTGTGCACAATGCTGTGCGGAGCTGGGCTGGGTGTGTTAGGCTGTTGGGTAGCTCCCCTAGAACACTGAACCTTAAAGGCATAAGCATCAGGGTGCTTAGATTAAGGAGGGAGGGTAGGCGAGTTGGAGGCCAGCATGGAAGAGGTTCTTTTCATACCTAGTCCACCCGGGAGAAAGGGACCCGGCCCTAAACCTGCATTATTTGATCAGCCGCCCCCCACCCCCATGTCCCATCATCTGGCCAAGCTGTGTTTTGAAAGGCTACAGGCCTAGCTGGAACCTGCTGTCTCAGGGGGGGGGGGGGCTGCTCTTGGGGGAGGGGTGTTTGCTGGTTGCCAAGGTACCCGGGTTCCGGCCTCTGGCAGTGGCCGCAGCCATGCTGTACTCACTGTTCTTAGTGGCATCACTGTCCCTGCTGGTGATGCCTGTCCCTAGCCATGCCTGGTCACGGCCCCTCTGGTACCAAGTGGGGCTGGACTTGCAGCCCTGGGGCTGTCAGCCAAACAGCCTGGATAGCTGCAGGAGCAGCCTCGGCTGCCCTGGTTACTGGATGGCCCTGGGAGGGAACCGCGTCTACCCCGTGGCTGGGATCACAATCACCACCACCATGATGCTGGTCGTCTCCCGTGTGATGTTGTACCGGTGGCGTTGTCGGGTCGCCAAGGGTCAGGTGAGTACAGCTCTTCTCTGTCTTCTCTAGTCCCTGCTTCTCCTCACCCACGTCCTCCATCAGCCTGGCTTAGGGCCTTGTTGGCCTCCTGCCGGGCCTTGTCCTCACCCCTATGTCCTACTCTTGCCTTTCTCTGGAACCCCTGTCTACACCAGTCCATCCCTAACCATTGTTCAGGGCCAGTACTCTGACCCGTCTGCCCCCATTTAATCCTCCCACTCTTCATTGAGCCTCCATGGGCCCCAGGACCACCTAACCCCGGGCAGATCCACAGTGACCCATTACCTGTCTCCCCAGCCTCTGGCACTGCCCCACAGCCTCTCACTCCAGCTCCATTGATCCATTGATGCCCCCCCCCCCCCCCCCGCCGCCACCCTCTTCCGCTCTCACGATGATCTTATACTCTCAGCTCCCACAGGTGACCTCCAGCTCCTGCAAACACTGGAAACGACAGGCAGTGGTCTCAGACCGCACCCTGGTCCTTAGGGTCCTTCACATGCTGGATGCCATCCTGGTCCACATTGAGGGCCACCTGCAGCGCCTGGCTTCCCAGCAACAAATGCAAATAAAAGGGACTCCCACTCAGTCTGGGTGACCCAATACAGGCTTCTCTTCATCTGATTGTCATCTGGAGCGGGGAATGGCCCAAGGCCTTGGGGCGCCGGCGTGTGTATCCGTGGGACTGTCTAAACCCTTCCACTGTTAGGGGCAGTAGCTTGTTGACCATGCGGTGTACAGGCCAGGTGGGCAAGCAGTCCCAGGCACCACTACCCTCTCAGTGGGGTAGTGCCCACTCCTTGCCCTGTCCTTGTCTCATCTCAGGTAGGTGGGTGAGTAAACTCAGGGCCACCACCAGAAAGCAGCTGGCTTGGGCTCCTCCTATGGCTTTAGGAGTCTCTCCCCAAGGGGTCACTGCTCTGGGTCCAGTGGTTGACACTCCTCAGATGCCCCATCTCTAACCCATCCTCACTCCCAGCTCAGGCCCCTAGAGCCCCAACCTAGGGCCAGTCAGGGATCCCTAACCGCCTTTGTTTGTGGCAACTTCAGACATACTCTGATGCCCAAGCAGCTCCAAGGTCTCTGGAGTAAGCGTGAGGGTTGAACTGCTTCGAAGGACCCCTCACCCCTCTCCCCCCTTCCTCTTCCATGGGTGATCCTGGTTGAATGGGGCCCGGGGAATAGGAATTTTTAGAGTTCCGTGTTTCAGAAAAGTAAACTCCAATCACAAATCAAAGAGAAACAGAAATAAATCAAAATAGTGAGAAAAGGGCCGGGGCTGTGGCTCAGCTGGCAAAGTATGAGCTTAGCATGCATGAGGCCCTGGCTCTGATCGCTCCGAGAAGAAACAAAATGAGAAAAATCACAACGAATTTAAAAGAGGCTGTGTGTGTGTGTGTGTGTGTGTGTGTGTGTGTGTGTGTGTGTGTGTGTGTGTTTCGAGACAGAGTCTAACCATACAGCTCTGGCTGGACTTCAACTTCGTGTCTCCCCCCTGCTTCCTCTTTCTAGGGGCGGCTATTACAGTGTGTGTCCCAACATGTGGCTGGAAAAGGGGCTTTAAGTTGACAAATACTGTAATAGTAAATCCAGAAAAATAACATGCATGGGAACTTCCTGACACCTTCCTGTAATGTTTCCCCTGCTATAGATTTGGCCTCTGTTGGTTTGTTCTGTTCTGTTCTAAGACAAGGTCCTGGTACGTAGTCCTGGTGACCTAGAACTCACTACGTAGACAAAACTGGTCTTGAATCCTGTCTGCCCCTATCCCCTAGGTGCTGGGATTAAACGTGTGATGGCTTCTATATAAGATAACTATGAGCAGCCAGGCGGTGGTGGCACACTCCTTTAATCCCAGCACTAGGGAGGCAGAGTTTAATATAATGAGTTCCAGGAAAGGTGCCAAAGCTACACAGAGAAACCCTGTCTCAAAAGAGAGAGAGAGAGAGAGAGAGAGAGAGAGAGAGCACTGAGCAGGGTGGTGGTTCAGTGGGTAAGAATACTTGCTGTACAAACCTGACTACATGAGTTCAGTCCCAGGAACTCGTGTGAAAAGCTAGATGCAATGGTACTCATAGAATCCCAGCATTTCTAGGAGATGAGAGGCAGAGGCAGGAAATCAGCCAGTCAGAGGCACGTGGGCCTGTACACAGCATGTGACCCAACAGGAGAGACCTTGCCTCAAAACAAGGTGGAAGGTGGGAAACTGACCACAAGGAGTTTGCCTCAGACCTCTACAAGTTCACTGTGTTACACATACACTAGTCTGCTCATGTCCTCCCTTCTCCCTCTCTCTCTTTTACACACACACACACACACACACACACACACACACACACACACACAAACACAAATATAACTAAAATTTGGTTGGAAAGATGTCTTGGTGATTAAGAGTGTGCACTGATCTTCCAGAGGACCTGAATTAAGTTCCCAGCACCCATGTCAGGTAGCTGACAACTAACTAGAACTCCAGGTCCAGGGGATCTGATACTTCTAGCCTCTAAGGTCACTCACACTCATGTGCACATACCCACACACAGACATACACACATACACATGATTAAAACTAAAATAAATCAACCAGGCGTGGTAGTGCAGGCCTTTGATATGAGCACTCAGGAGGCAGAGACAGGTGTATCTCTATGAACTTAGCCAGTCTGGTCCACATAGTGAGTTCAAGGTTAGCCCAAGCTACACAGTGAGACCCTATCTAAAAAAGAAAAAGAGGAAAGAAAGAAAAGGAAGGAAGGAAGGAAACAAAATAATAACAATAAATTTAAAAATTTCTATTCTTTATTTTATGAGTATGGGTATCTGCCTGCATGCATTTCTATGCTCCACATGCACACCTGGTACTCAGAGAAGCTAGAAGAGGGTGTTGGATCCTCTAGGACTAGATGGTTGTGAGCCACCACGTGGGTACTGGGAACTGAACCCAGGAAGATCAACCAACATTCTTTGTTTTGTTTCTTTGGTTTTTCAAGACAGGGTTTCTCTGTGTAGCCCTGGCTGTTCTGGAACTCACTCTGTAGACCAGGCTAGCCTCGAACTCAGATACTTTTGCCTCCCAAGTGCTGGTATTAAAGGTGTGCACCACCACCACCACCCAGCTTCAACCAGTACTCTTAACCACTGAGACATCTCTCCAGTCCCTAAAATCAATCTTTTTTTAAAATGCATATTTTTAATATAGGATAACCCATTTATAATTTGGGAGGTGAATTTTTTCATACTGACACTAGGAAGATAATTCAGCCCTCCCTCTAACATGGAGATTTATGCTTTAATTGTTGATTGTTTAGGAAAGTTATTTTGTTTTTCCTAACCCATTATTGACAGTGCTGCATGAATGTTACACAGAGTTGCTGATAGTATTGCTGTTAAATTGTTTGTGTGTGTGTGTGTGTGTGTGCATGTGTGTGTGTGTGTGTGTGTGTGTGTGTGTGTGTGTGTGCAGAGGTGAACATGTGGAGGCCCGAGGTCAAGGTTGGGTGACTTCCTCCACTGTTCTCCTGCTGCTGTTTGAGACAGAGGAAGGGGCTGGAGAGGGATCAGTGTCAAAGGGCAGAGATCCCGAGTGCACACAGTTAGGTCATCTTACGCTGGTTTATTTATTTTGAGTGTGTGTGTGTGTGTGTGTGCATGCATGTGCAGATGCACACATGCAAGCTTACAAGTACATGTTTACCATGGCGGGTACATGTGACAGAGAACAGCTTGCAGGAGTTGGTTCTCTCCTTTTTTTGTTTTTGTTTGTTTTTTTGAGACAGGGTTACTCTGTGTAGTTTCTCCTTCTACCATGTGGATTCCAGGGGTCAAACTCAGCTCATCAGGCCTAAGTGGAAGAAGCCCCTGTACTCAGGAAGCCATCTTGCTGATCCCTAGGTTATCTTAATTTTGTAGGTTTTCCACAATGACAAGTCTCTGTGGACATATTCCTTGGGCCCTTCTCAAGGCCTGAAAGTGAAGGACATTGAAGACAAAGCTTCGTTGAGGCCCCGCCCACACCCCTGCATCCTACAGGGTTTAATGAGCACTCCTGCTTGCTGGCCCTACACAGCGGCTATGAGCGTGTACTCCAGTGCATGCTGCAGTGCATGCTGGCTCCTCCTTCACCTGCTCACAAGTGGAGGTGCCACTACTGGTGAAACAGACTTGAGAAGACAATCACTCTGATGCGGGGAACGCTGGCCAGCTGTGGTCCAGGACCAAGAGCGGAGTGGTCAGAGGGGAGGGAGAACTCCAGTCAGGACAGGCACCTACAAGGAACCAGTGGGTACCCAGATCTCAGCCTGTGCCAGATCTAAGGTGCTCTGATTTCAAGGGGGAAAGTGCTGTAGAGAGCTGGAAGAGTGGCGTGAACTAATGGCTCCTGGAGGGATGTGCTAGGCAGAATAATGGCGCCACAAAGACATCCGTGTCCTAATGCCTAACGCAGTACGTGGCAGAAAGAATCTGACATGAAACTAGAGAGAGGGGTCTTAAATTAGGGAGTTTATAATGGATAAATTTGCTGGGCCCAATGTAAGGAAGAAAAAAAAAAAAGGCAGGTGAGGCAGGCAGGAGGCAGAGCGATTCAGAGTAAGGGGTCCTTCATCCTGAACCAGGGACCAAAGAATTCAGGTGGCATCAGGAGCAGGGACAATCAGGCAACAGCCAGCAAGGTAACCTACAGTCACTAAGAATTGAAACGTGCCAACCTCAATAAGCAAGAGCACAGATAACTCCCTACAGCCCCTGGGAAAATCATGGCCCTGATTTTAGCTCAATGGAACCCATGTCAACTACAGAACGGTGAGATAACAAAGCTATGACATCATAAATGTGTATGGCTCCAACTACTAAATTTGTGTTGTTGTTGTTGTTGTTGTTTGGTACTAGAGATTGAACCCAGGGCTTCATGCATCCCAGGCAAACACTCTACTACTGATTTACACCCCTTAGCCCAGGGCCAGCTTGTTATTGCAGCAGCGACAGAAAAGTAATGAAGATATGAGCCAGGCAAATAGCTTTAATCCCAGTTCTTGGGAGACTGAGGCAGGAATATCAAGAGTTTGAGGTCAGCCTGGGCTACACATCAAGACTGTCGAAAAATTGATAAACGAATAAAAACTAGTGAAAATGTAGATACCAAGAATTAGGTACTGCTGCAGCAAATTCTAAAACTGTGGGGTTTGGAATCAGGTGGGCAAAGGCTAAAAGAACATTGAAAATGGGCTGATTACATGGCTCAGTGGGTAAAGACACTTGCTGCCAAGCCTGATGACCTGTGTTCGATCCCAAGTCCAAATGGTGGGAGAGATCTGACTCCTGAGAATTGTCTTCTGACGCTACACATGTGCTGTGGCATGGGTGTACTTACACACAATAAATATGAATGTAATAAAATTTTTAAATTCATATTGAGGAAGATCATAGAAAAATCCAAGATTGTCCTCAACCATTAAATGAAATCTTGACTTGTAGCTCAGTTGGTAGTGTTTGCTAATCTACAGAAAGACCCCCCACACCCCAGCTTTGCTCTCTAGTGCTGCACACACCTGTAACCCCACATTTAAGATGTGAGGCAGGAGGATTGCACATTTATGACCAGCCTGAACCTCAG